CTCTGCAGTCACCCAAAGCCTCCCAATTACTGAACCCTTGCTTCCCGTTCTATTTGACCTTCCAGCAGCATCTGAGCATCACTTTCTCGACTCTTTCTCCTTCTGTGGCTTCAGAAACAACACTCTCGCTGACTGTTATACTTTGTGAGTCACTTCTGCCCTGCTTCTTCTTTTCTTCCAGCTAACCTCGAAATTCTGCTTTTGACCTTTCCTTTCCATCCGCTTACTCTAAAAGTCTACTTTGGGGATTATTTACCCAGCCTCATGAGTTAACCAATCAAAAGTCTGTACATTCAGCTTTAACACTCTCCTAAGACTCAGATGTATGTGCCTACCAGCTGGTAGGAATCTCAGGATATACCTCAAGCCCTCAGTCTGTCTTTGAGTAAGAGGAAAAAAACATGCAGCTTTGCTCCAAGAAACTAAGAAGCTTGTATGTGAGAGACAGAGTCTGGGATCCAGTATTTATTTGTTCTTGTCAATCTGTTGATGTCATGTATTTAATTTAAAAAATAGTCTACTTTTATATATGCCCTTTTTATTTCCAACAAAAAATTAATAGAGAAATGTATGGTTATGTGATTAAGAGTAGTATAGAAAACAAATGTTTTTTTTTCTAAGTTTTCTGTCTTCAGACCCTTCTTACTTAAATCATTCAATAGCAATGTGAAAATTCTAATGAAAGCTATCCTAGGATTTTTTTATCATCTATTAAAGGGTAAGTTAGTAACCCTCACTTTTATACACGGCAAAAAGCGCGGGATAAACTACAACACGGGACAACATTCCTTTGCCCGTGCACACTAGTCCCTCTGACTAAGAAAGAGAACTCTGCATATTTGGGGATGGACAGTGAAGGACCGACACAGGGAGTGGGTGAGGAACTGCGAAAAGTCTAGATGAGAAAAGATGTACATCTATTCCCTTTGAATTTGAACCATTTTAACTATTCCTTCTCCATTGCTCCATCGATAAATTTCTCTTTTGCCTAAGATAACCAGAGCTGCTTTTTTTTTCTGCTTGGAACCAAAGGAATTGGCACCCTCAACTCTAATTGTTGCTTCTCCCAATCTATCCTACACCCAGCTGTCATATTAATCTTCCTAAAACACAGCCCAATGACACTCTGCTTGTCAAAACTATGCATGACTCTGTGTTGCTTTTAAAATTAAGGATAAACACTTCAGTTTATTATATAAAGCCCCTCCTAATTCAGAATAGCTCATAAAGTCACAGACTGAAGTATGACAGCCCTGGGTTCAAATTCTGCTAGTTGCTAACTGTGTGACTTTGTTTTGTTTTGTATTTTTTAAATTTATTTTTAGAGAGAAGGGGAGGGAGAAAGAGAGAAAGAGAAACATCCATGAGAGAGAGAAACATGGATCGGTTGCTTCCCATACATGCCCTGACCAGGGACCAAACCCACGACTTAGGCATGTGCCCTGACTGGGAATTGAACTGGCAACTTCTCTGCTTTGTAGGATGACACCAACCAACTGAGCAACACCAGTCAGAGTGGCTGTGTGACTCTGAATACACTAATGAAAGTCTTTCAGCCACAATTTCCTTATCTGTATTACTAACATAACAAGAGTGTCTGTTTCGTTAGGTTGTTGTGAAGATTTTTAAAAGAGAAAACATGGGTTACCTATTAGATACAACCCTCTAGCACTAATCTGTATATGATCAGTACACCACCCCAACCACCTGATATCGTGAGAAGGTCCCCTACTTTCCTGGTCTCCCACATTTCATCACGCTATTCTTCCTACTATGGGTGGGCCATTATACTAACATCGAATGAGTCTCAAGTGATGGAGCCATAATTATAACCCAGGTCTGACTCTGAAATTCATGTGCTTAAATTAACTACACTACACTGACTTCGATTAAAGAATTACTCGAGATGGTCTGGTATTGATTACATTCTACACATAATCCCTCAGGAGAAGGAAAGAAACCATAACCACCACCATATTTAACCATTTTCCCCATTGCCTCTACAACACAGACAAATGTCCACAAACACTGCAATACGGTGCCACAGATGAAAAGCATTTCTTTCAAGGCTGGCAAACTAAAACTATGCAGGGTAGCACACTGTCTGGCAATAAATATGTACAAAGGCCCTGGTTTCTAATTTAACCATCATTTGTTATCTTCTAATTTTAGCTCTTGGACCTTCAGGTGCTCTCAGCTAGTTTCTCAGCCTCCTGGACAGAGATACCATCTAAACACACTATACAGATGGAGTGGGTAGAATACACAAGGACAGCTTCAAAGAGCTCAGTGGACACAGTGCAATATAACAAGCACAAATCATTTCTCTTATCCCCTAAGTTACTTTCAGGGAGCATACCGGGCACTTAAAAATAATCTAAAATTGGCACTCAGAAAAATAATCACTGTGGAAGTAAAAAACAAAATAGAGTAAATTAAAAAACCTGTCTTGGTCACATTGTTCTAAGCATTTCCCTAGCTAGTAAGTTTCAAGCTTCAAAACAAAGCCAAGAATCAAGTCCTGGGCATGAGACTCTTAAAATTCAGAGAGAGGGACACCCACGTGCACTCTGAGGAGCCCCCCCCCCGTCTCACCCCCAGCAGATAAAAGGGCTTGGTGTCTCATGACCCCTTCAAAGAGCTGTGGTCCCAGAACTCAAAGAAGTATCTCTCAGCAAATGACAATAAACAAGCCAAGCCTGCCTCACATCACCGGGAAGAACATCTCTTTTAGGCAAAAATGGAAACTCTTACTGATATGCCTTGAATAGTATCTTCTTCAGTTCAGAACTTCAGTTGCATCATCTTCATTCAAGGAATAAATAGTTTCTTTTTATATATCTTCCTTTTTTAGGGTTCTTACACCCACAACTGTACAAGACTCTCTAACTTTCTCCTTCAGAATCTTATTTCAAGTAAATGAATAAATAAATACAGAGAAAGCTAGTATTCTAGTTAATGAAGGGTAAAAATCTAATATACTCCCTACTTTACAGAAAACATCCAGAATAATTAAACTGGCTGGACTGTTTCATTTGTTCTTGTCTATTGTAAAAATTTTACATTATTTCAGAATTCATTGTACATTTCATCTTTCCCCCAGAGTAATCCACAGGTAAATATTAATATTTGTATATATTCAAAAACTTTTTATATCAAAACCTCAGGCCATCTAATAAAAAAGGCCAAATATCTTGTTATCACAATTTTCCAATAAAGAAAGGGAAAGAAGTCTATCGGTAGTCAGAAATCAGTAAGAAAATTTGAAAGGAAAAAATAACTAGGAAGAAGAAAGGAAGGAGACCATTCTCCATTCTGAGGAACACTTTTCTAGGCCTTGATGGAACCATAAGGAAAGAAATACCTGCAAAATCCCAACATAATAAAGGCCGTATATGACATACATATATAAAATACGGCTATATTTTACTACAAGGGGTAAAACTGAAAATGTTTCTCTTAATATCAGGAACAGGACAGGGATGTCTCCTTCCACTACTCTAATTCAATATAATACTGAAAGGCTTAGCCACAGGTATCATACATGAGAAAGAAATCAAAGGCATCCAAAATTGAAAAGAAGTAAAATCCTCACTATCTGCAGATGACATGATAAAGAGAGAACCCTAAGGACTCTACCAAAAAACCCCTACTAGAACTGATAGAAGTAAAGTAGCAGAATAAAAAATTAATATGCAAAAATAAGTTGCATTTTTATATACCAATAATGAAATATCAGAAAGAGATAAGAAAACAAGCCCATGTATAATCACAACAAAAAACCCTAGAAATAAATTTAACCAAGTAGGCAAAAGACCTATACTCAGAAAAATATAAGGCACTAAAGAAAGAAATCAAAGAAGATAGAAATAAATAGAGACATGTACTGTGTTCACAGATAGGAAGAATTAACATCATAAAAATATCCATACTACTCAAAGCAATCTATAGATTCAGCACAATTTTTGTAAAAATACCAACAGCATATTTCATAGAACTAGAACAAATAATCCAAATATTTATATTGAAACAAACACACAAAAAAACCTAACCCTGAATAGTCTCAGCAATCTTGAGGGGAAAAAAAAAGTTGGAAAAATCACACTATCAAATTATACTGTATGACCAATCACATTATCAAACTATACTGTTAGGCCATAGTAATCAAAACAGTATTACATGGGCACAAAAATAGACACATAGATCAGTGGAACAGAATAGATCCCAAAAATAAACCCATGTCTATATGGTCAATTAATATGTGACAAAGGAGGCAAGAACATTCAATGGGGCAATGGCAGTCTGTTGTTCAATAAATGGTGATGGGAAAATTGTACAGATACATGAAGAAAAATTAAACTAGACCACCTCCTTACACGTTATACATGAATAAACTCAAAATGAATTAAAGACTTAAAGGTAAGACACAAAACCATAAAAATCCTAGAAGAAAACATAGGCAATAAAATTTGTGACATTTCTCTCATATATATGTGGTATTGGGGCCCAGAGTCAAAAAGGTGAAGGGGTTAAGAAGCACAAAGTGGTAGTTACAAAATAGTCATGGGGTAGTAAGTAAAGCATAGGAAATGGAGTCAATAATATTGTATGGTGCCAGGTGGAATACTGGAAATATTAAGGCAAACACATTGTAAAGTATGTGATTGTCTAACCACTAAGGTATATACCTGAAACTAATATATCATAAAAGAAGAAGGTGAAAGTGAAGGAGAAAGAGAAGGAGAAGGTGGAGGAGGAGGGAAGGTGAAAGAAAAGGAGAAGAAGAAAAAGAAGAAGAAGAAGCAGCTACTGCTGCTTCAAAGATTTTATGGATTTAGAGTGTGTTTTGGATTTAAGTTCCTGAATATACAAAAAAATTTTGAATGCATAAATCTACATAAAAACATGTTTTTGTACTTTGTATATTGAAATGTTTTATATATTTATTTTGAACATTTAAATTAAAAAGGCAAAGAGGGTAATATGGAGGCATAGATCAGAGACACATAAGCAAACCGAAATTAACAAATAATTAGCTAAAGTAACTCATTTTTGAAAGTATGCTATTCTGTACAAACACACATGTTTTGCAAAAGGTAATTTCACAGTAACAAGCGAACATTTGTTGATACTTCACAGATACTGTGACTACCAGACAATTAATAGTGGGATTACATGTGACTGAGTTTTCGATACTCCACCTTCTTAACTGTGGGGCATAGCCTACAAGTCTGCTATGATACTGTAATGACACAACTTAATGCATAACATTTTCTTTCTCTAAAAAAATGAGAGCGAGAGAAAGGCTCGGAACTCATGATCAACAATTAATTATTAATGGAGAGAAAGGAAGAGGAAGGAACCAATCTCCATCAGAGACAATTTATAAAACTTCCTCGTGTTCATGCCTTTTCCTAAAAGACAGATCTGATACAAACAGGGAGGGCAGTGAGAGAAGCAGCAATTAAGGGACTGAATAACCCATGCACGAACTGTCAGTTCCTCATGTTAGCATATTTGCCTGCCAGGTAACATGTCTTTAAAAAAAATTGTACTGACAACTCACTGATTTATAAGCTAAAATCTTTACAGAGAATTTGGAGTCACTGATCAGCTAACAGGGCTGGGGCACAAAAGACCTCTTAATCTTCTTAGACTCACAGTCATCTCAGACTCTCACTTAATAAAGAAAAATATACAATGAAAACAACCATTGTAAAATGTCATCAGTGCTAAAAATGATGCGCTTAGTTTCCCGGAATGAGACGTGAATGGTGTTGATCACAAGGAGAAGTACAATGGCGGTGGCAGGAATGAGACCATCCCAAGCTGGGGGAGGGGTGGGTACCAGCCGAGCTGGCTCAGGAGGATGCAGCTGAATTCCTTTACCGACAGATGAAAACGGTCAAGTCCATCTTCCCCTACTCCACCTTTCCTTTCCACTCAGCCAGTTGCTCTTGTCATTTTTTTCAGGACCAAGGACATTCTGAGGATATGATAAAAGCACATTCATAAGTAAGTTTGAATACACCATGAAGGGCTCAACAAAATCCCTGAAAACGGCGGACCTGGGGGTAAGACCCCCTATCTGAGATATCACTGGGTGGGCACCACCCTATAACATCACTGTTCACGTACTATAATTCTTATTTAATTCCCATTCTCTTATGTAAAAGGCATGCGTATCTGCACGTGATGGAGAGAGTTAAATACTCTCCAGGGCCTAAAGGAACTTACCAGTCAGTATTTAATCTTAAGGTAAAGCAGATAGAAAACTGTAGGTTTCTTACTGGGGACTGAGGGGAAACGTGAAGGGTAGAAAACACAAAGTAAAGTGTTACTTCATTTGAACATAAGTCCAGATCAATCTATATTTATCTGGCCTGCAATCAAACACAACACAGAAGATGATGGGTGATATTTGGAATCTGTGGTATTCACTAAATAAGGAACAAAGAAATTAATGACCAAACACATTCAAAGCATACAGTCTAGACTATGATTGATCCTGTTGGTACAGGTAACAAATGTAGCTGCAAAAAGATAAAGACATCTACATGACATTATCCAGATTTAGGGACCAAGAGGCCTCAAGAGACTCCAATTTTCAGAAATAATTTACAATGAGTAGCAGATATGCTACCTGACCCCTTACTTCCAAGGTTTATGGTACACCTTGCCTTCGAACTTGTTGGGGAATGAATGGGTCTGAACCAGAAATAATCTGTCTCATTGGACACCGCTAGTCTAAGTTGAAGTCATTTCTAAAACCATCATGAGGTTTGGATTCTGTTCCAGAGAAAGTTCTAAAGACCAGCATCTGACACATAACAACGGAGAGCAACAGCTCTGAAGTAGACTTGAACCTTCTGAGCAAAAATCAAGGCATCTTCCTAAGGTCTTCTGGACGTGGGTAAATCTAGTCCCGTGCTCTCCAGCACCTCTTTCTGTGGCGGTGTAGATGTTCTGTTTCTAACTGTGCCCATCCCAAAACGCTACTGAGCACATGAGATAGTGTGACTGAGGGACTAGATTTTTAATTTGACTTAATTAAATGAACTTAAATTTAAATAGCCATATATGGACAACAGAGTCTCTCTTCATTAGAAACTCATGGCCAAGCTCTGGTCCACACCTCTGAAGCAGACTGAAAGCCGGCGTTCAAACTGCTGGGATAAAACGTAGTGATTTCCCTCCTAACTATACTAGAGGCAAGTAAACTTTTTAAACAGTAATTTGTATTGGCTTATAATCTTTATTTCTCATACGATGGTGAATATCTCAGCTTAAGACTCGTATTCCCATATTAGAGCAAGCCATAGCCCAGTTTGAAAGAGAAGTAACTCAGGAACAGAATTATGACCACAAACCATCACTTTACAGGATTCTCTACTGATTCTTTTGCCAACTCCTGTGAAATTATAATTCAATTACCAAAATTCCCATTTGCTATAATTTTTCAAAGGGCATCTACATTTAGAAAATCAAGATGGATTACTTGACAATTATACTCACCAGAAATAGTTAAATATTGTGGTTGAGAAAAGAAATTAGATAAGATATACAGTATAGCTACTCAAAAATCCTAATTGTTGCAGATTTAATTCCATTAAGAACTTTGTTTAAAATGCCTGTATTTTATGTACTTACCGATTAACTAGAACTAATGTGCAAACGTCAAGTGGCATTCGCCCTGAGCATCTGAAACTACACCAGCCACACTGCATTGGTACCGCACTGTTCCCACCGCTGCCCAACCAGGCCCCACACATGCTGCTCCCGGGGCTGCCGACCCGCTCAGGCCCTCTGCTCTGGACACGTGTGCATCCAATTCCAACCACGAACAGCAAGAATGAAGGAGAGAATCTCTCCCACAGTCCTTAACTGGGAGGTTGAAAGAAGTATCACTCCATTGTTGAAGTACTTCAAAGATTTCATATTTCCTAAATCATTCTGCCTTTATAAAACCCACATGAAATAAGCAGGTCATAAATTCTTTACATTTTGTGGTTTTCTGTTTCGTTTTGCCTGACCGAACTATTTTTTGTCCTAAAGCTTTTTGAAAAACCGCTATATTATATACCTTGCCTCCTGAATTCTCAACCAGAGATGAAGAGGATATTGAATGTTCAGATCTGCCACCACTTTTTCTAATGAAGGATGTGTTTTGTGGGTATAAGAAAAGAAAGGACCCAAGAAGTATGCCCCAAGCTTGGCATAAAGAAATACTCTCTTTCACCTTTTACATTTTGACTTGTTAAATATTTTGTGGTATCCATGCATTTCCAAACTTCACTGACAACGTCCAGGAAATCTTGTACCAACCACACAAACCTAAAAAAAAAAAAAGATTAAGGACTGGTGTACCATTTCTTTAATTAAAATAATTTATTAGCAGTTAGTAGCTAGCAGTTAATCATTTATTAAAGAATAACTACTAATCCAGGAGTAAGCAGCCCAGAAGGAGAAAAACATTAGAAGGCCCTCTGATTAAAGAGAATTTGTGTAGGTACAATTGAAAATTATAATCAAAGTTTTTGCTTCTCACCTGAAAGATTAAATTTCATCCAGCCCATCTTCACCTTCCAAAAATATCATCGCCCTTTTCACCACCTGGATACCTCCTCGCTGCTCAGTAATTCCTTTTAAAGGGAAGAAGGGTCCGTGGTGGTCCACGCAAGTGCGAGCTGCCCACTCCTCTATCCCCAGTTCCATCCCCCTTGCCAAGTAGGAAAAGCAAACTCAGGAAAACATCTGCAGGGGTTCAGAAGACCAGGTCTGAAGCCACGAAGTAAACTGGGTTCCATCCTCTGTCACTCACTAGCTACGGGAAAATGGGTGTGTCACTCAACCTCTCTGAGCATTAAATTTCTCATCTGGCAAATGGCACTTGTGTACCTTAGCCAACATTCCATCAGTTTCAAGCAGCCAAAACCTCTTTGGTTTGGTAAAAATGGGAAATTTATTGGCTTACATCACCAAGTAATTGAAAAGACAGGGCCTCAGGATGACTAGTCTCAGACATCAAGTTATCTGACCCTCTCTCTCTCTCTGCCCCCTTATCTGTCTCCACTTGCTTTTATGCCGGCTTCGTTCTCAGACTGGCTTCCTCCACGTTGCCCCTGAACACAGGCAAGCTCACATACCCGACCCCACTGCCAAGAAGCAGCTGATTGTTCAGCTTTCTACTCTCAAGTTAAAAACAGTGACGTGAATCCCTGACAGCCTGGGACCAGACCTAGTAGATGCCGGCCCTCACTCAAGCCCTGAGGTTAAGTTCAGGAAGAAATGCTTTCTAGAAAAAGGCTGGGTGATATGCTAGGCGGGCAAAAATAAATGAAGTCGCGCTGATTAATGATCCCTCAAGGTTACAAAAGATTAGAGAATGTTTATAAAATACTTAAAACTCAAACAATGTTATCATTATTATAGATAATTCCTATGCAGAAATCAGGGAATTGCTAGAAATATGTAAAACCAATTTTGTTTTTGTATCTCACTCCAGTTGTTTAACTGAAATGAGACAAAAACTGGATTGGGATTCAATAACCAATATACAAATTGAAAAATTAACCAACCGGACATATTTTATGATAATACTGTATGACGCTTTACAAACGCTTTCACATAAACAACCTGATCTAACCCTTACATATCAGAAGGATAGACATGTCTAATTCTTTCTTCTAAAAAGAAACTGAAGCAGGGCGAGAACCCGCTTCCCTTTAGGCGCACACTCCAAGGTGCCGGAGGCAGCCTGCCGGCCAGTTTGTCCCCAAGGACGCCCTTGCTGCTCATTTCGCATTTAGACCTTGGCCCTCTCTCCAGCCTCCACCGGAGACTCTGCGATGGGCCACGTCTCCCCTGTGCACAGCTGTCCTGAGGAGGAATTTCAAGCGCCTACACATCTGAAATCCCAGTGTGGGAAGTATTAATGCAAAGAATTCTCTCCACTCTGACCATGACACAGGTTTACCAGGAACTCTTTAGTGGATTTATTGTTCAACAAGGTTAACACTTGGATCTGATAGAGGACTGTTGAGAGGGAAGACTATTAAATGAAGATAATACGGCCTTTCAGTCTTGTAAGAGCTTTTGGATATGACTGAGGGAAGCACCGTATGGTGATCACTCCACAAAGCAACAAAAATGCAGCAGTTAATAAAAGCTGGTAGCATTCATGGGCAGTCGCATCTGCAAGACCTGTGTTTCATTTTCAAAACAGAATTAGATTTTATGTGTAAAGTTCAATCACAGTTAGGACTTAGCCCCTAAAGCCTGCAAAAAGGCCCTGAAGAAATAAATGCGGAAGATGCAGGGACAGATGCGACCAGGGCCCAGCAAGACAGTGTGAGCTCCAGAGTCAGGCAGGATGGTCTCGCCGTCCCTGCTTGGCAACGTCCAAGCTGGTCACCTTGGGCAAGGCGCTGAACTTCCCTGGGACGTTGTTTCCCCGAATATAAAGTGTGGATAGTTATAATAGAAGAACATATGTTGTTCGAATTGGGGTATTTTGAAGAGTGAAAGGGGACATTGCTAATAATTACCCCTGGACAATAGGAGTTAATGAAGACGGCCTGGAAGCCAGGAAGTAGGGTTGTTCTCTCAGGGTAATTGAAAATCAGTGCCTAACAACACAGGGCTGTTGACACAACTAATAGAAACAAAACACATAAAGCAAGTGGCATGCCATAAACCCCAGGTAAAAACCGGCGTCTTTCTAGCCTGTCCTTCCCTTTCTTTCCTCCTCCTCTGAGGGATTAGAAAAACACAGTTTTTTGTGTGCTTTTAAAAAAAGGGATCAGAAGGACACAATTCATTAGTACTCATTACTAGGTAATGAAGATTGCCTCACACCTAATGGTATTTATACTCTGTCTGCTCATTTATTCTCATTACTAGGCAATGAAGAGATTGTCTCACATCTAATAGTATTTATACTCTGCCTGCTCACTAAAATATTATAAATTACAATTTACCTTATTTTAGCAATATACCCTGTACAGTGCAGAAACCTGATCTCACTTATTGAGGAGTACTTGGGTAAATGAGTCATACATCCCTCTTTTTCTGCTTGTTTCTACCTTTTACCATGTGTTAGTGGAGAGAAGACAGATTTGTAACTGAGACAATCTCGATACCTGGTTGTATCAGTTATATGATCTTGGGAAAGTCACTTAAGCTTTTTGCGCAGCAATTTCCTTTTTGGTAACCAGCAAGCACTGGGATCTTTGAGAGAATGACTGGCAAATACGTAGTACATCACCTGACATATAATAAGTGCTGAGTTACATCAGTTTTTTTCTTCTTCTTCCTTCCCTTATGCTGTTCCCGTTTGACCCCTAAGATGCAAAATGTCTTGGTCCGATACAAGTTCCTTAGAAGCTCCTGGTATGTACAAAAATCGTGTGTTTCCAGGAAGTATCTTTCCCGGTCATTACATGCTGCATTTCAGGTAAACTGGACAGTACCAAGCTATACAAATTAGTGATTTACAGTCACATTTCAGAAATTTAATTATGAAAATATGGAAAGAAATTCTGGCGCAAATCTTGGAACGAGTTCCTGGTATTCAAAATTTCTCATGTCTACCAGTAACCAGAAGAGGGCGCTCCAAGATTAAACTAAAACTCGAGCCTTCTTAAAACTAAGATTACCAAATTTTCAATAAGCAAGCTCTGAACCAAAATTACCTAAATTATATAATAAATCCAGAAAGACAGCATAAATTGAGTCTCTGTCTAGAGATTTCAATATGTAATAATGTATCACTTTTCTAAAAACAATATAAACTCATTTTCTTAAGATGAAATGCTTTCTTTGAAATGCATGTTACAGAAGAGCATGTCAACTCATATATGAGAACACATACAAGTGTTTCAAACGCTTCTCAGTGTAACAGGATGTATAATTTTTGTGTTTAAAAATGTTAGGGAGTGTGGGGTTGTTTTCCTTTATGTTACATGCTTCCTCTAGCTTAGTTTCTCCTGGTTGTTCAAGTTTAAGGCCACATTCCTAAGGTTTTACAAATGCCTGAGTTTTGTGAATCTCAGAAAAATTGGATTTTTATCCATTTATGGTCAAACCTAACTAATTTTTATTTTTCCTGGTGGTTATATCTACCTAGCCATCTACGTATCCAACTAAAATTTCGCCAGTCACACCTTGAAACTATATATTGGCAATTTACAGAGATCAACCAGAAATTATGAAAACCATAATTATTTCACAAGTTGTCTCCAGCATAGTTACGTACACAGCAGCAGAAGTAGATCGGGTTATGAACTACTTCAACCATTGCAACTGGCTAAAGTATCAAGAGGAAGAAAAGTTAAACTTCATTCAATCCATGTTATGGCCTAATCACATTTTTCACAAGAAAGTAAAAATAAGGGATTGGGGGACTTAACTATGGTTCTGCCACTATCTGTGTGGTTCTTCAAATGAGATTTCCTCCATCTCAATTCTGAAATAAAAAGAATAATTACCATCTTGCAAAACTGTTGTGTAGACTAAGTGAGATAACTAACAGAAGTGGAAGTTCCTCATATGGTGTCTGGTAACACAGCAGGTCAGTGGAAATGACTTTCTTCTGTTCTAATTTTACAAGTCCTCCATAATTAAAGTTTTTATACCAACCACAAACAGAAAATTTTGCTAATCAGATTCTGATATCAAAGCTTTATCATATACAGAATAGTTAATGATATATTAATAGCAGCAAGGGACTGTCGAATTCTAATAAAACATGACACTGTTTTGACTAGTTTCCCAGGTATTGTACACCATTAGTGGGAGTTAATTCATGCATCAGAAATCTTTTGGGCGAGGTCATCTTACTGTCACCCTTTTACCCCTGAAGGCAGGAGAGGCTACTTGATCAACTCAAAATGACACAACTAGTGATCAGCAGTTTGATCACAAAAAAACAGAATTCTTAGCCGTTGCCCTTTATTGCTATTCAGAAACGCAAAATTTGCCTATTCATTATTTGCAGTCGACTTTCAGCTCTCAAAACAGTTTAACCAATTGATTGTATATATGTGCTGACTGCTAATTTGATTAATCTAAACATCACAATTGCCAACCCTAATTTTTCAGATAAAGGTTTCTGTACCATCATGACAATTTTGTATGAGAAAACAGAAAATCTAATAAACAAGTAAATTCAAAGTAAAGCTATAAAGTATGGACATGGCCAGAGTGTTTTATGCATAAATGAGTAAGGATAATAGTCTCTGTATTCATTACTGATTAAAATTCAGCAGATATTCTTTGCAAAATTAACCTGTTTTGTTGAATGATACTCAAAAGTATGTCAGGCAGTAATTGCTTCCCTGAAATCAACTCTCATTAACTCATTGACGGTTTCATTACTGTTTTAACCAACATTGTTTTAGTCAGATGTCTCTATGTGCTGGACTAGAGATGTCCTTCTGCATCACCGAAGTCCACTAAAGTGAAGCCGAGGCTCAGACCCGATTCTCACCTGCTCCATTGGAAAGCTCTCCCTGGCTCGTCACACTCTCTACCTTAACTTGACATTGTGAGCACACCATACCTATTTATAACACATCCTGTGTGCCAGGCGCTGTTCTAATCAGACCCTAACCCGTTTAAACCTCACAGTAACTCCACAAGAGGAGCATTTTCACTATTCCCATGTTATAGCTGGGAAAACAGAGCCAGGAGTAATTAACCAATGAATAGCAGAGGCAAGATTTTAGCCCAAAAGTCTAGCTCCAGACGTCATCCTTTGAACCACTATGTTATCCTTCACACTACCTCCCAAGCTGATTTCCTAAAAGGCAAATCCAATTATAGAAAATTAAATCAAATGTCTTAGCTTCCTATGCAAGTTCCTTCGCAATCTGTCTTTGACAAATTGCCCCCACTTCTTCGACTACTGCTCCCCAACCTCCACCTTACCTGAACCCTCACCAAAGATTTCAGCCACCCCAACTCCTAATACCGCATGTATCAAGGCTTTGCAAATCTGTCTCCACTGATTAAAAGGACCATTCACTTTCCTTTGCCTGCCTCCCATCCTTCAAGTCTGGAGTCAAAATTTGCATTAAGAAGTCTTTCTGGAGTATTCCTGATGAAGTTAATCACTTCACTCCTAAGCACTTCATTTATTTGTGTATGTATGTATTTGTTTATTTATTCGTTATCACACAGTTGTATTATGTTTTATTTCAATGCTGGGAGTGTTGCTGCTTGAGAGTAAAGTCGCCATCTTTCCCCCTGAGTGTCACTGGTACTTACCTTGAACAATGATTTTACACAACACTGATAATTGGCAACTTTGAGCAGAGTGCTCACGGTGTGCAGCAATTTCAGGGTTTCTCCCTTAAGTATGACTAGCCCTTCCAAAGGTAAATATCCTCCCCACTTCACTCATGAGAAAACTGAGGGTCAGAAAAAGACACAAATTGCTTAGGTTCTACACACAAAATAAATACACACACAGGAAAAAATTTCTAATGTCCATGTAAAAGACATTCAGTGACAAGGAACTTTTGCAAATGTTCTAAGCAGCCCTCTCTACTGAGAGTAACCAAAGAGCTATTTATACTCAGTGTAAATATTATCATAAGCATCTGAAAATTTGCATTATTCAGTTTGACAAAAATACTAATAGAATACCAAGTGCATATAAGGAATTAAAATGGAAGGAAACCCCCCAATAAAAAAACAATGACACAAACCACAACGTTCAAGTTCTTTGAATCCTGGGAACGGCATAAGAGAGCACTTACCAGGGCATATTGGCACCTCTCTGTCACTAGAAGGCCTAAGGACTTGAGCCATCAGGACCAGTAACTATTACGAAAACTACTCAAGGGCTGAGACCATATGTCCGCCTCCCTAATGCACACAACACACATTTTGTTATCACAGGTGAAGAGAAATGGCCAGGAGAGTTGGCTCGGTGTGCTTCCTTCTTCTTCCTGGAGTGACATCAGAAGCTCCTCCTAAAAGTCTGCAGTTTATTCATTTGCTTATTCACTCACTCCTGCTTCCCTTCAGTAAATATTATGCAGTTCCCACTGCAAGCCAGGCCCTGCCCTCCGTGCCAGAGGTACTGGGAGAGCGAGGCCAATGACAGCCTTGCTTATGCAACTTGCCCGTGTCCTGTTCCTTAGAGGTAGATTCTCCTGTAGCAGTTCATCACATTAAGGTTTTTGTTTATCCAGCTTGTGATTTTGCTTAATGAAAATCCTTACTAGCTGATAAAAAATTTAACTGAGTTCCAATAGTATCAAATACTGCTTGGAAGTAGACAGTTAAGATACCTGGTTAATATAACCAAAAAAGAAGTCCTTTAAAACCTTGAACTCTGTGATATAATTTCAAAATATCATGCTCACATTTTCTAAATGGACAAAAACAGCCAACTTGGGACACAGCTACAGAAAGAAAGAATCTGATCAGCGGAATTGGAAGTCTGCCTTCTTTACAAAGAAAAAGAATGGGAGCACTCCCAGAGTTCTGTGTGAACAGCTGATAACCAGCAGGGACAAACATATATAATACGAAAGGCATGGTTTTTGTCTCTGAATTATAATAGTGCTCTCTTTTAAATAATATAAAAATTTCCTACAGCAATTGGTACAACTTCCTAATTATTCCTTCCAAGGTGGTAATACATGGCCCCCATCAACCCCAAGGACAGAATGTGCCACAGGTAAGACACAAGTGGTTGAAAGTTATCGCAGGACAGCTGTGCCTCCGGATGACCATTTATAGACCTGACTCACCGTGTACCCTTAGACACACTGCGTTGTTTCCTTATTTATAACATGGGGTTCACAGAACTTGTTAGTACAGACGTGTGAATCCTCAAGGAAAATTTAGTACATGACACCTCATGCTCAGAGTTATCACATTATTACCCAAATTGGAACTGGCTTCGTGACAGATTTCAAACCCCAGAATTCTGCAGAACAACTGCAACAAGTCTGTACATTCCTAGCAAAGCCGAAAGCACATTCAAAGTGTTGGTGCCTCTGGTTCTTCCCCAAGGCGGCAGCTGCAGCTGCTCGCTTTGCTGTGGAGTCTAAAGCGACAGCCCCCTCCTGGCTGGCAGTGTTACCATCGTTCAGGAAAGAGAACACAGAGCCCATGGCTTTTCTGTCTCTGAGGAGCAGCTTACAGACATCTTACCCAATGGCATATCAATCAGACAAGAGAAACCTGCAAAGCAGGAATGCCTTCTGCTGCGCGTGGAGACCCAACCGTCCCTGTTGGGACCAGGCAGGCCCAAGAATGAGAGAAAAATGCATCTGAAATCCCCACCTCCTTAGGTTTTCATTTACAGGAGACAAGCAAACCCAGGGTTTAAAACGAGAGAGAGGGAGAGAGAGACCTTACTTGAAATGGCTCCACCCATGAGGCTGGGGAAGTTTGAGGAAACCTAAGCAGACTACATTTCCCCCTCCTTTTTCTGCAGTTTCTTTCTACACGGGATTTCCTGGTCACATCATGAGGACTCTGTAAATCTGCCCCCTTTAACTTAGTGGCAAGAATCATTTCCTGTCTGGTCCTTTCAAGGAAGATGAAAAGAGCCTCCCCCCTCAAACAGCCCAGAATGGAAAGGTACACACTATCCTATAAAATTCAACCAGGAAACCTTTAAAAGAGAGACAAGCATTAGTCTGCAACTCGTTCAATACTTCGTTGCTTTTGTTTTGTTTGGTGTTCTTCTTTGGGTTAAATACACACTTAAATGAAATACACTGGTATATCCATTTTGTCATTGTTGTTCAAAGTAAACTTGCTTCTTGAAAGATTTAGGTCTTCTCTCAAGCCCCAAGTACCTTTTTGGTTGTTGTTTTGTTGTTTTGTGAAAGAAGAAAATCTTCAGTATTGGTTAAGAAACAAAAAAGTTCTAAAATAATTTTCATACCAGAACAGAAAAAATAAATAAATTCACGGAACTAGATGAATCACTTGCCTTCTAATCTAAAATGAATCTCTCTCTCCCCGCCCCTTAACTCTTGCTCTCTCGCTCTCTCTCACTCTCTATATCTCACTTACATTGAACACTTTCACATCAGTGCTATTCAAATCCTTTGGACAGTAGCCTAAATGTTTCAGCCATTTCTGCCTACTTGAAATGTTCTTGGAATTTTTCTAGCTCCAAATTCCTTACAATTGTTCAGTTGCTCAGTGCTTATCTAAGCAAATGGTTGCTTGCTCTCTCTCTCTCTCTCTCTCTCTCTCTCTCTCTCTCTCTCAATATATCTAAGTGGTACTGCTGTTTAATGAAACACTCTGGGAAATGCTATTCTAAATTAAGAGCTTTATAGTTTCCTTTAACTATACCAGATATTATTTTGCTATAAGCAAATATGTGTATTAACACGAAGTATCCAGACTCTGGCTTCTCACTTTTGCTAGCAAGGCAAGAACGAGTATCTCACAGGATCATGTCATATCGGCTTGCTTACATTTTTGGTTTTCTTTTAAATCAGCAGAAGACAGAAGAGCAAATGCCTCTAATATTCAGATCCAGATGAGCACCAACATAACTAAGAGCTTTGCAGATATCTGAGGGCTATAATCTAATGTCTGTGCCCCCAACAAAACTTATACACTATGTTGAAATCCTAACACTATGTATTAGGAGGTGGGAACATGGGTGGTGCATAGGTCCTAAAAGCTGAACCCTCATGAATGGGATGAGTGATGTATAAAGGAGACTCCTGAGAGGTTGCTGGCCCTTCTATCAGGTGAGGACATGGCAAGAAGATGCAGCTGAGAGACCAGGAAAAGAGCCCTCTCCAGAATGCGGCTGTGCTGCACCTTGACCTTAGACTTTCAGCTGCCAGAACTGTGAGAAATCAATGTCTGTGGTGGATAAAACACCCAGTCTGTGGTATTTTGTTATAACAGCAAAATAGACTAAGATTTCAACTCATAAAGAAAGCAAGAGAGAAAGAGGTCTGTTGTGAAGAAAACTTCAAACTACTGTGCACCGAATCCATGTTTCGGAGGTTTATAATGCATCATCAAGTATTAAAATCAGTAGTAAGGAAACTGCCTTCATTCCTTTTAACCCTGTGTCTCCCAAAGTTCACAATGAAAATTTTTTAAAAAACCTTAACATCCTACAGAGTCTGTGTTCTTTAAAACACCCTTTAAAATTCACAAATTTAGAACAATTATAAACTGCACCAGAAGAGAGTTTGTAATCGAATTAAAAGAATTTGGCATTAATTGTCAAAGTAAAAAATGAGGTATATTTCCCCCTAACTAGCCACTGTCCTAGCCTGTGATGCTCTGATCACTACAACACTTGCCACCACTTTAATTTACATTATGGCTTCAAGTTCAACCCAAGGGGCTTATTCTTCTGCCATACATGTTCTTCCACAAAGGTACTGAATGATTTTACCACTGTCATAGATGCCTACCTCAGTGATCCAAACCCCAAGGCCTCTGCTTTATCAGAGAATGAGACACCAATTAATACCCCACTCAGTCCAAACTATTTATTAAATCAACTATCCATGAGCTATTTTAAGATGGAAGCACTAGTGTAAATTTTTCAGACATCAAGATGGCTACTTTACTTACCATTCCTCAACCCAACTCACACCTTAGCCCCTTTCTAATTCACCCAGCTCCCATCATACAGCCTTAACTCTCTTCTGTGGAAACTTAGTTTATAAAATAAGTAATGTATGATATTAAAATATTTTGTGGCTGTCACTTAACTACGACGATGTTTTAAGACACGACCCTTGAGCTCAAAACCTGGAGATGAAAAGAATGCATAAACAAATAACAACTGAAGAGAACAATAAATATCATGCAGACATACTGCGGAGATATTGTTGGCTCAGTTCCAGACAACCACAAAAAAGCAAGTACAGCAATGAGGTTAGCTGTGGTCTTTTTGCTGGTAGAGGGTCTTGCCTTCAATTTGTAAAAAAACGCAACATCCGTGAAGTGCAATAGACTGAAGCTCAGTGAAACCAGGTTTGCTAGCAGGAAGGGTCTGCAAGAGGCTGCCTGCGAGCACAGTGGGGAGTGACTCAGCCTCAGGTGGTTCCGAAGGATTCACAGAGGGGGTGAAGCAGGAGGCAGATCTCCAGAGGCGTAAAGAATGAGTCTGTCTTCGGGATTGTCTGTGTGGCTGAGAGGCAGAACATAGATTAAAACTGATAGGAGATGCGACTGGAAAGGTGGGTGAGGGGTACAGGTGAAAACACCCCTCGGCCAAGCTCAGAGACTTAGCCTCTTCCCTGAAAGAGAAACAGCCTCGGGAAAGCTTTACCCAGAGAAGTGACATGATGAGGTGCTGTTCTTCTTTAAACAGATCGTCAAAGGTAATTAAAGGTGTTCCCTTAGTCTTTAAAAAAGCCTAAGTCAGACTTACTGCCTCTGACTATGACCTGCTCTTATGCACACAGCAGAAACAGAAGTATAAAGTATAAGTCTCCGATCCACATCTCCAGGGGGAGTGAACTCCTTTTGATTAAAGCTCTCAAATAAGAATTGTTGCCCTATTTTTCTCTTAAAGAAATATACTTCTCTCAACAGGTTTTATGTGGAAACTACCAGTAAGGTGCAGCTTTGCCTTCAGGCAAGTTTTCTTTTGATTCCAAAGCCTATAGCTATCAGTAGGTGTGTGAACTCTTGAACTCTTTCCCTCCTTCTATAACAAAACAGCCTCACTGAGATCAGAAAGCATCAAAACCTACCTTGGGCATAGGTACTCCTAATAGATTTCAGCCAATATATAAACCAATTTTGTGACACAGAAATGCACTCAGGAAAGTACCCTTGAAAAGTCTTTTCTTTCTATTCTGTCCTGGTCAGGAGTGAACTCCTAAGGCGTTACATAGTCCTAGATCAATTAGATTTAAAGCAGCAAGATCTGATAGCAGATTCCAAAGGACAGACAGGTGGGACCTGGCCATC